CCCCACCCCCCTCTCTCCCATGAAATTACGGGAAGTTCCAAGCAGAGAGCAGTGACCCAAAATATACACACATCAGCTCAGCATCATGACGCATCTCGGTTTGGCCATTCCCCGTACTGGTGGCGCGCTCTAGCGAGCCCCGGCTTCGGCTGGTCACGTGGGCGCCCACCTCACCATTGACCATTACACTGGACAGTTGGTTTGTTGACGTTGAAGCGCGCGGTAGACATCTGCCTGTCTTGTACCCTTTCTCCGTTTTAACACGAGGATTTCACCAGTTGGAAGGACCAAAGGATCCTGCAAGTATGACGGATTCTCGTGGAAAATACTCGAGGGCTCTCGCGCCTATGGCATCCAAAGGTTTTCAAGGAATACCCGTGAAAAACATAACCTTAGTAACACCTGCCAACGCTTGCGCTAACTCATACAACCCTGCTTTGACTCCCCTTCAAATGACTTATCAGGTAGTGAGAAAATCCTTCTTGTCTTATTAACTGTCAGTAGGTTGTTGATGGTCTGTTTAATGTATGTAGCAAAGTCTAAATCACAAAAATATAACTACTTTTTATCACAGTTGTTTTTGTAAATGTGACACAGTAAGTTCAGCAATGAAAGGGAATTACAAAAGTGATAATCTTGAAAACTGTAATAGTTATTTAAATCTCATGATCTCCAGTGATCTATTTTTGTGGAAATTCTGACCAAAGCTTTTAACGTGATGCAACTTTTTTTTTATTTTTCCTCTTTAACAATTAAATTCAAGACATTGCCTAACACTATGACCTTGGATATTTTTAAATACCCTATTCATCCAATTATTTAAATTTAACTAAATATTTTACCGAGCAAAATTTTTCTGTGTTGCAGAGGAAGATTTGGAAGAAATGGAGACACCATACTCACACCTTTCAGCCAAACCATTTAGTCTACCAGTAAACACTACCAATATGTATCAACTGAAACCCCTCAAGGATCCGGACGCTGAGGAATTTCCACCCACTCGGAACCCATCAGAAATTGGGGATGACGATTCAAGCCTGCCTGGAGGTGGGTCCACTAAGCCTGATGTCGATAGTGTAGATGGGGCTGTAAATGGCATTGATGACGGTCTTTTGCCAGAAAAACCATCTCATCCTTATCCAAAACCAAGTCTAGACCCCAAATTTCATGGAGAGTACCCACCTTCGTCCATTCCAGAAATTCCATTTGGGGTAAGACAAACCAGATGATACATATTAAGACTTAAAATTAAATCATTTTTCAACATTTGAAAAAATCTAAAAAATATTTGCTCTGCAGCTTGGTCCAACTCCTGAAGTGCCTGATGTGAATGTGTACCAACATAAGAAAACTGTTGCTCAAGGGATGATGGACATAGCTTTGCTCTCAGCTAATGCAAACCAGATGCGTTATGTCTTAGAGAGTGGTGGAAATCATCCTTATTACTATGTGAGCATAACTCTCATCGGCATAAGCCTACTCTTGCAGGTATGTGAAATCACATTTAATTTATTCTATGAAAATACAATTATTCTTTCAATAATTATTGCAATCTCCCATTTGTATTTCAGGTGGCTGTTGGTGTTGGCCTTATTTTAAATAGCCGGTATAATGTGTCCTATGAAACAAGTATGCGTAAGGCCAACCGCATAAATAATTACACTGTCCTCGCAATTTTTCTCATCACAGTAATGAATGTCTTCATCTCAGCTTTTGGTATTGCCTCTGTGAGCTCACCTGCATTTCCTCCTTCTCCTCGCATTGAAGAGGGGGGTGGTCCTGAAATTGAACTTAGAGATTAACCCAACATTATCACGTTGAGTCCCATATGACCATCAATATGGCTGTTATACAATACATGCATTGTGGGGGAACACTCAGCTGGGATTCAACATAACTTCTGTTTTATAAATACCTATTTATTAGTTTGTAGATGCCACTAATCTTGGACTTTCTTCTACATTTATAATAACCAGATGAAGCATTTACTGCTTTAAAATGAAGCTGCTCATGGGTGCTATGCAATATTATTTATATGGATGGTTTGTTAATCTAGGTTTTACATCTATATCTGTGATATTTTTAACCATTGTGCTCTTCTTTAGTATTAATGTGTACTGTTATGTATTGTGTTTCATCTCTCATGTTTGAAAACTTTTCAACTACCTGCCCTAATACTCAATCTCAGCTGCTCAACTTTATTTTCTTTCTTTGTTTTCTTGATGGCGTCTCTGTGTCTTTCGTTCACTGATTAATGTCTCAAAAACTGCCAATTTCTTTTCAGATCTTTATGGATGTAATACTCAGTAGAAGTAAGTTAAGTTTAAGCATAGCAAGCTAATTTATTTTATTTTGCTGTTCTCAGATATTTTTATTTTTGTTATATTTTTGACCATAGGTGCATAAATTGTTTGGTTGTAAAGTGCACTACATCTAGCACTTTTGCTATGTGGGTTTTGATTTTGTCCTTAACTCTATGTTGTCTTTTAATGTCACAATTTGTGTTCTTCTTAAAGCGGCAATGTCTTTGCTTTTTTTTGAAGTGTTTGTAATGTATCTCATTGAAGACGGGTAATACATATGCTCTCTGTAGTGCCCCCTGTTATAATAATTGTAGTATTGTATTGACCCTACCTATCAGCTATTGGCGGTTGCACCTTTATAGATTAAATTTCATGTTTTGTAGAAATAATATTTTGTTAACAAATATTTATGACATTGTATTATGACACTGTATTATGCAGATTTGTCAATTGATATTAATTTACTAAAATGACTAAGATGTGATTGTTGTACCTCAAAATAAAGAAAAAAATATTTTGTTTATTTTATTGTTTCAATCATTTTTGTCACTCACCTCCATAATTTGGCAGTCTTACAAGTTCTCTGATCTTTGGCTGTTTCGCAAAAGCGCGCGAATTTGCTGTCTCGATAGTGACTCTCGAGCGGGGTGGTAGCGCCTGGGCGCTTGGGCACTCCCGCCGAGCGTGCATGTCGGTTGGGTTGCCTAACTAGTCTGCCCCCCCCCCCTTCTCTTCGTTTTCCTGGACGAAATGCGTTCCGAATGATTCAGCCATGATCTGCAGAAGCAGCTAGAGCTGAACAGAACACGGCTTTCCGTCACAAGACCGTGACACGCAATTGCGAGGGGGCTTCGCGTGGGTCTAGGAACCGGATCGCCCCCCCCCCCTTACCCACCCTCAAATTCCACCCCCTCTGAGTAGGGTCAGAGCCGCGGCGGGACACGGGACACGGCCGAGAGGGACCCAACAGTGCACCAAATGCAATTACCGACAGGAAGTTTGGCGTTCTTCAAAATGGTTGGTTGGCACAGGTGTAATGCGGGGGGATTGTCGCATGCGTGAGGCGAGCCGTCCCCGTCTTGCCGCCCCTCATGGACGGGGGGATTAGAGACTGAAGGGGGAGAGTGGGCGTTCTCATGGGCCCCCGCCATGGCGTAGCGTAGCACACACGACGGCTTCAGTGTCGGGCGCAGCGTCGCGCGGAGCTGTAACGCGCGGCTATAGGACGTGATAACGCGTCGATCACTTACACGGGGGGGCATGTGAGGTCCTTGCTACTCATGTCGGGCCGGTCGAATGGATTGAGCACTTAGCCCGTGTTATTTTATTTATTCCTCCCCCTGACTCTTGTTCAGGTTGTGTGGCGCCGCGCCGAAGTATGGAAAAGCGCCCTTTGAAGGGGACATCGGCAATAGCCCTGAGTGTGTCGCCCTCCTATCAAGCGTTTGGGGATCAGCAGAGCTCACAGGTTCGTAAGATCTATTACAAAGGCATGACATTTCACCTGTGCTTTAAAAGGTACACTGTGACTGCGACACTTTCACACTTCTGCCAAAGTTTTACTATTGCTTGCTATGTTGGGAGATTCCATTCCTACATCTTTTCCGTATTTGTTTAAACAAAAGGTGCCGTTCTTTTCAAATATTATGCATGTACCCTCAACTTAATCCTAAGCAGTTAAAAGGATTTTACGTGGTATTAAGGCCCCATATGCACATTCGAAATCTGAGGAGGTGAGGTTATGTTGTGACAGGTCAGGGGAGAAAAAATCACTGATTGCAAATTGTCTGAGATAAACCATACTCTCAAAACGTCATTTATAGTTTTGATTATGTATGCTTGTGACCTTTCAGTTTTAATATGTAGCTTTACTTTATGCCCTGTTTTTTGCCTTTGGTAATTTTCCAGGGACATATGTTATGTAACTTTGAATTCTTCCTCCATTGATTGCCAGCAGTAGGGTTCTGTATTACATAATACATGCATCACATTCCTATTTCATTATGTTAAGTACGCTTTACAGTGCTCCCGGTGCTCCCTTCATTTTTTGATCACACAGAGAAACCTAGTATTAATTGGGAACTATCCGTAATTTCACCCACAACCCACTTTCGAAACGGAAACAATTTTTGGGGTTCTGTCAGATTTATTGTCGTTGTGTTCTGTAAAATCTCAATTCAAATTTGAAATATGCTGGGTCAGACGGTGCCTTTCACCCATTAATGAATAAGTGCCATGGCTCTAACTGATTGGCAAAAAGGCAGCTCTCAAAGTTGTAGTGGCAATGACAGCTCAAGCAAAGGGGTAGTCGTGATATCTTTAAACTCAATAACCACACCAATGTGTGTTGCCCGTAAACAAAAGAACGAGAAGATGATAACATTGGGTAACTCTCGAATTATCAAAGACATGATAGAGGTATGGTGCCTCCCTTCCCTTCCCTCTCCACCCCCACCCTTAACGGTCTGACGTCACGTTTGCCAGCAACGCCCAGCATGACAGCTGAGTCTTGCGACGGGACGGGAGGTCATTAGGCCCTTGGCCCCGGCGTAGTGCTGATGTCGGTGCGCGAGAATGGCAGAACCATGGCAAGTATGTGCAAAGGCGTGCAAGTGCAGCGATAGGGGCGGCCGGTGAGCGGGGAGAGGGGGGGGGCAGGGGGAGAGTGGAGGACGGGGGACGGGCCGGAGCGGAAAGTTGAGTTTGCCGAGCTATCTCACTCGCCTCGCGCCAGGACGAAAGGAGGCTCAGCTGCTTACTCAAGACGACACCGGGTACAGAGAGGACCACCACCCCCAGGGAGAGCCGCGAGCAAGCCGACACCCCCGTCGACGATGTGGCCATGTGGGGCATGGTGCGGAGAGAGCTAGCGCGCTCGTCGGGCGGCGAGTACGTGCTCGTGCACCAGCAGGAGCAGCACGGAGTGCGCCAGGTGCATGAAGACGTGAGTCCCCACTTGTTGCCACGGCGTCCCTCGCGCGTCCAGGACTCTGCTCTTGCTTGTCCCTTGCTGGCCTCCGCTGACGGCATTTTGGAGAGGGGAGGAGGAGAGATTGACGCTGGACGGGGCGGTCTGACCATGCCAGGTGACGTGTGAGGGGCTGGACTGCAGCTGGACGCGCTCCGGCTCCAGCAGGACCTGCCTGCGCTGCCGTGGACCGCGGCGCCGGGAGCTCGCGGCTGACGGGACGGCACTCGGAGGAGTGGGTCAGGATCATCTTTCTTCTCTCCTCCCAGAGATAAGCGGGGACCAGCGTTTTACTGGTGCATCCCGTGTTCCCGTCCGAGCGATGTCTCAGTAGGACGCGCGGCGGACGCCCCCCTCGGCCAAAGACGTCGAAAGGCGACGAAAATTGCAGCTCGACAAATGGCTGCGTGACATTTCTCCAATGAGTGTCATTTACATGCGAGTAAGGGTGCTTTGTCTTCGGGTTTTGCCACGGACTTGTCCTCCGTTATGTAAATTGCGCATCGACGTATGGTCAACATAACCTATACAACTTGTTTTTGTGTTGTTGGAGAGTGGTGGCTATACTAGGTGATTCTAGTTCTCTGCTTGAAGTTATTTTCAAGATCAGCAGCATGCACTTTAAGTTTTAAAATGAGTCCGTTTTTTCCTATTTTGCACAAACATTGGTAGTATATCTTCATGTCTTTGTGCCCAGCCTAACCTGCAATGACTCAAGTAACAGAGTCATCAGGTATTGGTCACATTGTGACATCACCGTCAGTCCCAAGTACTAACCACAAGTTATTTCAGATTGTGGAATGATATCTGAATTTAAAATATTAGTTCTGAATACTCCACCATAATTTTAGTGGATCATACTTTTTACCTGTAATAATTTATTTGGTTCATACGTTTTTAATATTACGTTTCAGAATTGAATGTCTGTCCTTTTTTTAAGTTATATGTTGGCTTTTTAACGTTAGTCTAGTACTTTGTCTACTCTATGCTTTGTATCTCTTCTTATTAATGCATCCTTTCTCATTTTGTTTTATATCTATTAGTCAGTTTACTTTTGTAAATAGATAAGTTTCATGATTTGCTGTGGATGATGAGCATCGCTGTAGCGTTTTTGGTGTCATTCCCAACTAGATCTTGTTGAGTAATGTTGCCTTTTTTCTCATTACAGAATTCAGCCAATGGAAACCAACATCGTGGCTTTTCTATGAGCTCAGATGACGACATGATTGACATTACTACTACAGGAACCGTAACTGAACGCTCCATCCACTATGATGACCCAGGAACATCTCATTGTAAGTAGTCTGTGTGTCATAGTTTATCAGAATTCAAAACATCAAGGCAATAACATCTCTGTTCATTAGCAAATTAAGTTCAGTGCATTGTGCTCAATGATTAACTGGCAATCAAAAGTAGAGGTTTTAAACCCCTGGCACTCAACATCTTAGAGCTTAATCTGTCTCAAAGACACTAATGCTTTCTCTTTGTGCAGGGGTTGTGGGAATGGATTCATTTTTATGTCAATTTAATATCTGTCACCCTTCCCATATCTCTTTCTCTCTAAGATCCTTC